TTTCGGATTTATATAACGATGTGCGTTTGGTAATGACCCGGTGAAATTCTCGTTGGAACTTTAGTTGCATGCCCTCCAATGCAATATATTTTTGAAATATTGTTTTAGTTTTTTTTTATGCGATAGACTTATATAACGATTGACCTCGGCAATCAGCCACATAGTCGAATGCTCCAAGTAAAATCTGGTCACAGTAAATGCCGGGAGACACATTGCTATCGATTTATAATATTCAGGGGGCAAATTGCAAAAATTGAAACGAGGGTGGGCATGCAACAACCTAAAAAGCTTCGGGGGCAATATGTAATTTAGTACCTAATTGCCTCCACCCTGAAATTTGATTTTCGCTCACAAGTGTTTCTTGTAGTTCACCCAATATAATCATAGTTAACTCCATATAGAAGTTGACTTTCTTTCTGTTCAGCTCCAGGTTCTCGAATAATTATGTTTTAAAATTATCTAATTTTATTAACAATCGAAGTCGAGACAATTCCAAGAACTTACTTTGATTTATATTTGCCTGGACCCCAGTCCTGTGAACTCGATGGATCGCAATCCATGATCTTACGGGATCCATAGGCAGGGCTCATGTGGGATCCATAAGATCATTGGTTGTCATTCACCGGACCCGCTGAATCCGGACCGATAGAAAATAAATACGAACCGGCTGAGTGTGATTTTTGATTTGAAATTAATCAAATAAAAAAGAGATCATTTTGACTTTATCTGTAACGGGGATCTATAGCGCCGTTACAAGTTGCTGAGGGACAATTATTAGGGAGACATACGCAGTGGCGGAGCAATAAAAGACGGCATTATAGACCAATAATGGTGTAATTGACCGATCGAATTGCGTTTTCAGGGGGCTTTCATGCCAGCAAGGGCAATAAAGAGCAAGTATAAACATGAACTAGCGAAAGACAAAATTGCATCATCTATGATCTTGACGGTGCAATTTGGGTCGAGTGCGGGTTTTTAATCGAATGAAATACTGTCAGAGAACTGAGAAGACGGATCAATCGAGATTCGCAATATATTACTATGCGAGTAAACAGTTTCTTGAATAATCTCAAAGTAACTAAGAAATATCTTTGGGGTCACTTTGAGAATGGCCCTCCAAATTTAATGCGAATGAAAGGTAGACACTGTAATTGCACAAAAACTAATTAAAGCAACATTCATGAAAATGTTCGCTTAAATCGCTCATAAAAATGAACGACTAAAAAATATTTTGTTATGCATTAAAATATTTAGACATAAATTATTATCGATAATAAAAATAATTTTCATTAGATAATTATTTCAAAAAATATAAACGGTCATTTTTAGGAAAGTGTTCTTCAAATCATTAATTATTTTAAGGTACCTAATAACATTTTTTTTCATCCTAATGGGTAAGGTGCTTCCACAATTCAAGCCTTAAAAACGGAGGTATGAAGTTCAATGCCCATCCTCAAAATTTGTACCAAAAAAGATCAATCGCCTTGTTGGAGGGTGCAATTTAACGATCTCGAGTTTAGTAATCAGGGCTTCAAAGGGTCAATTTGTTTCATGAAAAGCCACTTTTCGGGAATTTATTTTCAGACTTTCTAACGCTCGATCGACAGAAAGCGTTATTTATGGATAAAAAACAATATGCTTGGATTAGGGAAAATGACTTCTTCTTCTGATAAGGAGTAAATCATTTCCCTTGATTTCTTATTCATGCCCTCTATCTCTCATCAATTCATTTTTTTGAGAAGTCTCATTTATTATTTTTTTCATAAATCTTGTGTGCCATTTCCTGAACATGCTTCATTAACACTAATATATTTTTGTATTCGAAGAAAATATGTCCGTATATAGCATATTGCATATATGATTACATAATCTATTTTCTAATCACTTCGTAATTTCCGTGATTCTAATGTAACACAAAATAAACAAAGAAGATGTCGATTCCAGATTGTTAATCATTACATGCCATTGGCGTGATTTGAGTTGCATTTAATGGATTCACTTGCTATCAAGCATCATAAAATCAGTTTGTTCAACTTATTTCCAACACCTTGACCAAAAAAAAAAACTTATTTCCAACACAAACATAAACTGGAAAATGATTTACCTTCTCTAGATTTGAATTTTCTGAAAATATTTTTCAACGACAATAAATTTTCGATGAAATGAGCAGACTTGAAAATAAGGAAGATCTCTTAATTTATTTCCCGAACTTTAGCTCAATGTGTAATGTGATTCTCAAATTTTAAATTTGTTCAATGTGCTATTTGAACTTCAATCCGACGTGCAATGTCGTTCTGAACTTTTAATTTGCTCAATACGGTCCCTAGACGTTCAGTTCACGTTCAATTTAGTCATCGAACTAATGTTGTCCTTCCATTAATTCAAGTTCATGGCCAACATTGACACATTTTCATACAATTTACGGACTAAATTGAACATATCCAAAAAAATCCATGAACCATTTCGAACAAATAAAAAGTTTAAGGAAGACAATGCTCATTGAGCTAAAATTTGTGGATCACATTATGCATTGGGTCAAAGTTCAAGGATCATTTGTGTCATTTATAAAAAATAAAAAGGGGGCCTTTTCCAAATGGGATCAAGGATTTGTTTATATGCAGTTCCTTTTAAGATGGAAAAGCCACATTACATATCGGGCTATAGTTTAGGGGCCACGTCGAATAAATTTAAAGTTCATGGATCACATTGCATATTCAGTTAAAGTTCGAGGATCATTGTATCATTTACTCAAAAAAAAAATGCGGCTTTTCCAAATGGAATCACTGATTTGTTTATACGTAGTTCCTTTCAAGATGGTAAAAAATAGAACCCTGGACCGAAATTATTTAATCATTTGCACATGTACGTGGTACGTATGAATGCTGTTCTCCTGTGACGCTCAGTGCCCTGCTGCCTGCAGGTCAGTGACATGATGGGATCCACTCCCCCCAATAATGTACTGAAAAAAAAAGAGAGAAAAAAAACACGATAATCGATAAAAGATTCACCAATTTTTAAAATATTAAAAATCGATGTAGTGATAATTCAATCGATTATTAAATTGGCTTGGGAAATTGTGATCTTCCAGTGCTCGGACCGTAGAAAATCGCGAATTTTGACCGTTGTCTTTCCGACTTTTATAATGGGTTGATTCCGAAATTTGTCAGCCACCCATCAAAGTTTTAATTATAAAAAAAAATTGCCAGAAAACCCAGAAATCGAAAAAACGAAAAATAAAAAAGATGCTTAGAAAATTGCATAATGCGATCGAAACAGAAGAATCTTTGTCTAGGATGACACGAAAAAAAACATTATCGTGGATGAGACTCCACGTTCTGTAAGTCGATTGATTGCAATGCTGAAAAATAATGAAACTGGTTTAATTTTTTTTTAAATTTATGTGGTTGATGGAAATTTTTGTCATGGGATTCCTTCAATTGATGGGGAGAAAGGGAGTAATTATGTGAACAGAATAAGAAGCCCCACCAAACTCTGCATGGAGATCAACTATTCAATGATGAGTTGCCCCTCAGGGTCAGTCAATTTCAGTTTCTTTCAACTGCCCACCAGAAAAATTTGCAAAAGAAAGATTGTAATCAGAGAACTTGTTTTGTCTGCTTGAGCTTTCCATCTGATTTGATTTGCCACTGGTTTACTAGAAAAGCAAAACCCTATATAATCGAGAAGAAATGGACCCGAGCAAGTGCCTGAAAGGCTCTATCTCGGTCCTCGTACGGATCTCGAGATTACTGAGATGCAAAGCTTTTGAAGGGAGAACTTATGGGGGTTGGGCATGCGGAAGGAACGCATCTGTGGAATCCGCTGTCACTGCAATGCAAACTGACAGGCCACGAAGATCCTTGTCGGAGCTTCGATTCCCTTTCTTTTGGTGAGGCAACATACTTAACCATCGCCGAGGATCCAAAGAAGTCTCCCTGACTACATAATTAAGAAGAAAAGCCCAATGTATTTAATTATGTAATAGCAAAGAATTTACTCTCTTTTTTTCTCATTCTAAGATCTGCAAAGAAGAAATGTTTGTCCAGATTCACGAATGCCCATTACAAAAAAAAAACGAAAGAGAGATTAGAGGCAAGATTTGATTCCACTTTGCTAACTAAGAAAATTATGCTTTAATTTTTCCTTCGAAGAAGGGTTAAATTTCAAAATTTGTTCGGAGCATTGCGACTCCTACGCTCTGAGTTTTTCAGTATATGGTCATATTGATTCGCGAATTCACTTTTAATTGTTCACACTTTCTTAATTTTAACGGAAAAGTTAAAAAAAAAAGTGTTTTCAAGTCTTTAACCAAAAAATAAACGCGCCCTTTTAGTGTGCAAAGATGAAAAGTTTAATAAAAGCAAAAAGGGTAGGGGTGGGGGTGAAAATTAGATTAAAATTTAGAGAGTGTTTAGTATATATTAAACAACTCGGGTCAATTTCGAAACTCGGAGGGGAGGGGCAAAATGGGCAACGAAGGCCAAAACGTGACCCGGGGTTTTCTCAAAAGGAGGACAGCGGAGATCCTCGTAAGCGACAAAAACGACGTCGGCTTGTCTGCCGAACCCCTCTCTCTCTCTCTCTCTCTCTCTGCAGCGCACGGCGACGACGAGCAAGTCACCGAGCGAGAGTGACTCGGTCACTCGGCGACTCGCTTTCCCCACCCACCCACGTCCATGTCCATGTCCTTGGTACAGAGGACGCGCTCCGTCCAAAACTTTCGCGCACCATCTCTTTCTCTTCTTCCCCTTTCTGCCCTTCTTGGGTCGCGGAACAGTGGATAAAAAGAGGAACTTTGATACCCCCGCAACGGTGGAGAGAGAGAGAGACAGAGAGAGGTGGTGGTGGGCAGATTTATTAATTAATGAAAAAGCAGAGGGGAGAGAGAGGGTGGAGAACATGACAAGAAAAAAGTGAGCTTTACCACATAGGAGAAAGAGAGAGAAAGCAAGCAGTTTTTTAGAGAGAGAGAGAGAGGGAGGGAGGGGAAGTGGGCAAAAATATTTATTGGAATTTTGTGGAGGCAGGGCCTTCCCCACTGAGGGAAATTCTGGCTTAAGGCCTGTGGGTGAGGGGTGTGCGCAGGATAAGCAGAGAGAGAGAGAGAGAGGGAGAGGAGTCAAGTTCATTGTTCTTCGCCTTGTGTTGTGGTGAGGGCTCGAGCTCTATGCTACACTGAGGTCTTTAGTGTAGTCTCTTTGGTGATTCTTGGGTGCTTCTTTTCTGGGTTTTCTTTTCTTTTCGAGGAAAGGTTTGATTCGAGGAAAAATGGGCAAGAGGAGAAGAGCTTTGGCAGTGATTGTGTGCTTGTGGAGCTTGATCTCTCTGTCCGGAGCTGCCCGGTTGAGCTCCGGTTCGAAGCAGACGCTTGAGGTTCAGAAGCACTTGAGGCGCTTGAACAAACCTGCTGTGAAAAGCATTCAGGTTTCACCTCTTTTTCCTCTGCTTTATCTGTTCTTTTCTTTTCTTTCCCACTTGTAAAGTCTCTTTCAGGTCGTGCTTTAACTGATTTTAAATGTTTGGTCGCTGAGGAAAAGAAATGGGGGAAAGTAAGAAAAAGGAAGGGAAAATCACAGCTCTTCGTTTTTTGTTGCACAGGTTCAGTGGCTTCATATTTTTTGAGAAATGAAATTTGAATGATTGGAATAAGAAATGCTTTTTTTCTTTGATTTGAAAGAGGTTTTGAGTGAGGATGAACGCTTACCTCCTATTTCTTGGGTCTGACCGAATCATGACATCCTTATTTAAAAGAGGTTGTTTTTTTTTCTTTTCAGTTACCTAATTAAAATTGATTGCAGACTAAGAATGAAGCAAATGGGTGCGTGCTTCGTCTTATAACTAACAACCTTTTCTGGGTCAGTTGGGATCTTGGTGCTGGAGCTCCAATAGTATCCTGACTCCTGAGTCTTCTGGATGTGAAGGCACAATCTCGAAATGATGCCTATCTGGCCCTCTTAGAAGCTTGAATGAGCATGATGAAATAACAATGTACTCGGATTCTCTGGATAGGACTGAACCGCAACAATTTAGCTCACTTGTACCAGCTTTTAAAACTGTGATAGATACTTTCTGTTTTAAACCTGTTTTCTTATGGACCTGGGGTTTCATGTTTTTGATCTCATGTGTTTTGTAATGTGCTTCAGAGTCCAGATGGGGATGTTATTGACTGTGTCCCCATATCTGATCAACCAGCCTTTGATCACCCTTACCTCAAAGACCACAAAATCCAGGTGCATTTACATTTTTATGCAGATTTTCTCTTTTTCTGTCTCTTCTTATGTTCTTTGCTTTTCTCCTTGCTAATTTTACCATCACCCTTTTTTGATCTGTCTTTCTGGGTGCTGTTTGCCTCACCAGATGAGACCTACATATCACCCGGAAGGCCTGTTTGACGAGAACAAAGTGGCCACAAGCACCAAAGAAAGAGCAAACCCCATTAATCAGCTGTGGCACGTGAATGGGAAATGCCCTGAAAATACCATCCCCGTAAGGAGGACCAAGGAAGATGATGTCCTGAGAGCAAGCTCTGTTAAGAGATATGGAAGGAAGAAGCGCAGAAGCATCCCACAACCCAGGTCCGCTGACCCTAATCTCATCAATGAGAGTGGTCATCAGGTAAAGCATCTGTTCTTCTCTCTCTCTCTCTCTCTCTCTCTTTTAATTCCCTCTGGAAAAGAAAATGAAGTAGCTTTTCAACCTTTTTCCTGTTCTTGCCTTTTGATGTGGATTCTGTGTCATTGATCTTGTTTAGTTTGTTTGTTTCTCTTTGGAGCATTCAGCATGCAATAGCTTATGTTGAGGGAGACAGTTTCTATGGAGCAAAAGCAACCATAAATGTCTGGGAACCTAAAATTCAACAGTCCAATGAGTTCAGCTTATCTCAGCTCTGGCTATTGGGAGGTTCATTCGGTGAAGATCTGAATAGCATTGAGGCCGGTTGGCAGGTGACGTCAAAATCCATAGATTTTCCATTGATGCTTGTAGGAACTGATATTTTTGGTTATGCAGTTGCTTAAATTCTTGACTAATGTGTACAGGTCAGTCCAGATCTGTATGGCGATAACAACACTAGGTTATTCACCTACTGGACGGTAAACCTTTACGGACATTGGTACATTTGCTGTGTCTGATGGTTTTTTTACCTTCGGCTTACTCAACTCGAATTGTTTTACAGAGCGATGCGTATCAAGCCACGGGTTGCTATAACCTCCTCTGCTCCGGTTTCATTCAAATCAACAATGAAATAGCAATGGGAGCAAGCATCTCCCCTGTTTCTGCTTACCGGAATTCTCAATACGACATCAGTATACTCATCTGGAAGGTAAAGTCAAGAATGCCAACGACTTGCGCCTATTAAATTGCTGTAACTGACTGTAAATCAATTTCTCAGAAATGTTGTTAAAGAAAATGGAGGCAGTACCATCAAGAAATGTGAATGTGACATCCAGTTGGAGTTGTCTTTTGTGTAGTCCTCATATATTATATGAATTATTGAACTTTAACTACTTTAGAAGCCATAGCAGCACATGCCGGGTGTGTTGTTTTATTACCAATTGGGCGTATTCTAGATTTTTATGTAAGGACTATCATACAGATAGTACAGGATCACAAGTCATATCAACATATTCTAGTTGCTGTTCACTTTCTTCATGTTTACTTAGCCTCTGTCGCTAATTGAAGTTTCATGAAATTTCCAATAGGACCCAAAAGAAGGCCACTGGTGGATGCAATTTGGGAACGACTACGTCCTCGGTTATTGGCCTTCTTTCCTCTTCTCGTACTTGGCGGACAGCGCTTCCATGATCGAGTGGGGAGGTGAGGTTGTGAACTCGGAACCCGAAGGTGAACACACATCAACTCAAATGGGAAGCGGCCATTTTCCTGAAGAAGGATTCGGGAAGGCCAGCTATTTCAGGAACATTCAAGTCGTTGACAGCTCCAACAACCTCAAGGCTCCTAAGGGGATTGGCACCTTCACCGAGCAATCCAACTGCTACGATGTCCAAACCGGCGATAACGGCGATTGGGGTCACTACTTCTACTATGGGGGTCCTGGCAAAAACCCTAATTGTCCATGACAATAAGTAGTCCCCAAAATCCTCCTTTTTCTGTTTCCCTATGTATCATTCAACCCTAGTGTCAATGTCCCTTTTCTCTCTTCTGTATACCCCTTTCTTGGTCCTTTTTTAGGGTGGGTCTCCTAGGAACATGTTTTCGCCTTTCTGTAGTGGGAAAGTTTTGACTCTACTGTATTTTCACTTAGAATATTTCTCTCCATGTAAGTGGGTCTTTAGAGGGGTTGGCCAAAAGTTTTCTCAGAGCCCTAAGAGAAACAGGCCCTTGAATACTCCTTGTATTCTATTTGTTTGTTTGCTCCTTCCCTTGGAGTGTTTTGTCAATGATGAATGAATGAACCATCCTCTCTCCGAGGCTCTTTGATCTAACCTGTACCATTTTGTGAATTTTCAAGAATGCTATATTCCTCTCGCACTTTGCCAAATCACCTGAAAAGCTATCAAATCTATGATATCTTCTTTTTCTTCTTTTGAAGGTTCGTATTCTTCTTAAGAAAGTGTGTGGAGTAAAGCTGGACGTGAGTGGATGACAGATCTTATCCCCATTTGCATCTCCTTTTCAAAAGCACAGCACTCACACGGTCACAAACAACAAAAACAACCAACTTAGACATCAACCCAACACCCAAAGATTTGTTTTTTCTATTTCTTTATTGGTAAACAACACCCAAAGATTTCACATGCTTAACCTAAAATGCCACTATTCCGGTTGATGTTCTGGAGGCGCCCAACTCCAAGATTCCTTGACCCAAAAGTGTCCTCAAGTTGAATGGATTTGTAGGAAGACTTTTTATGAATTTGTCCATTGCATGTCACTTTCAGCAACCTGCCTATACTATGATGTGAGAGACATGGGTGTGAAGATGATAGCAATTGACTTTTAGTTGGCCTCCGTTTTGCCTTAATAATGCAGTCCCCTGATTGAGCCTGCACTAATTTGGTTCACTGGCACTAGCAGGTAGTACCAGTGCTCATGACTCTATGAGTCTTGAGAAGAAGGGATTTGCAAGAGCATGACTAATCTTAACTGTCTGAGGGATCGATAAAGCCGTTGGACGGAAGGTCTTCAATTTGATTACTTATCCGATGTATTTCCTACGATCTGATCAAAAGGAAATAATCTCCAAACATTTTCACTACACTAGCACGTTGAACAGGGTGAAGCTTGGCTCGAGATATTCAAATAAAAAATTTTAGAAAATAAAGAGCTAGTGTGGATGTGATGGGCTCTCAGCATCTGGCTCTAGAAAAGCCTCTCAGTGCCATGCATAGCAAGTTGAACCAAAGATGTACAGTCTACACACATGGGAATTACAAATGTGAATGCTGATGATGATGCATAGGAGTATCAGAAGTGGGTGCTTGAGGGAGGAAAAAGGGTGCATCATATTTGAGGGTGGAGAGCTAAATAACCCCCTGTACCTAGTTAGACATTACAAACTGTCCTTGTACTCCATGCATGAATCTGAATGCTGAGAAACCTTGTCAAAATTTGCACCTGATTCTGAGATCTGGCGAGATAATCAATTCGCTCCGCCGGAACAAACCAGACGGCAGCCATATTAATCACTAAAGTTTAAATTCATTCTCGATTGAGTAACTTCAAGAAAATAAATAATTTTAGTTTGGCCCCATTTGGTTGGCATTTTGTTCTATGAAAGTGCTCTGGTGTTATCTTCCTTCGGTCGTGGTCGCTGCGTAGAGAAAGCAAATGGTTTCTTTGCCTTTTGGTTTTGACTGTTTCCCATAATAAACCAAACCGATAGACCTAACTGTTCTTATTCTGGTCTTGTATTTTGAATGTCGCATTATTGGATACGGATGCCTTTTTGACTGAAACTGACATCACATGTGAAAGACAAAACTATCCTTGATATTTTTCAAGAATAATTATAGCCGGAACCCTAAAACTTGTTGCAAGAGTGTGGATCCGAGTCCTGCGACTCTCGTTTCACGGTTCATAAAATTTGTCATTGCCTTCTGCTTGAGTCCTTCCTTAAGTCCACCGGCTCTTCTTGGATGGATAATCAGTGTGCCCTTTTCTTTCTTTTTTGTTAATTTTCCGTTTAATTTTTGCACGTATGGCGCTAATGTAGCGATAAATGGGCGCACCACAGAAAAGCGCCAAAAACTTTACGAAAAGGATTAAGATGAATTAGAAAAGAGAAAGGGCAAAAACGGAGAGATGAAGGGGTGAGGGGCTAATTAGGTAGTGGTCGAGAGGGCGCCGACTGTCACCCGACAACGGTGAGGGGTGGGCGGGCAAACGAGTGGATCGAATCGGTTTCTACTTGGTGAACTTTGGTTTCGGCTCGTATATGAATTCAGGTAGTTTCGGTTGACAAAAAAATCATTCATGTATAGTCGGGTCGGATTCGGAACGTCCGGGTTCTGCTTGGTTGCCTACTTTTCAAATGTGGTTCGAGTTCCGTTTGGACCATTACTTGCCTTGGCTTCTCGCTCGCTAGGTTTGAATAGCTTAGACACAAGTACATTTACATTTATGTTGCAGTAGAGCCGGCTAATCGATGAGCGGGACTAATCTCAATTTCGATTGAATTCGATTTCAGATTAGATTCATAAAACAAGTCATTAACTAACAGAATTTAGATTTGAATTTGGGTTTGCATGAGTTCGGCCAACATTGGGTTTGGGTTCATTTACTATTCGATTTTCTTAGTTTTTGAATCTGGTCTGGTTTGGATGACCGAATGATTCGATTTTTCGAGGTGGGGCTATTTCGGGCACGAGTCGAGTTGAATATGGATTATTGATTTTTCTTGTCAAGACACCTAAATTTTCCACACGATTTGGATCTCGAATGAATTAACAATTGAGCCTCAAATGATGGACGCAATTTCTTTTTTACTATACATAATGAAATTCCCAAGTACAAAAGATACACCCCCTACTTTTGTCGGGCACAATAATCCAGTCCTTAAAAGAGATCTTAGGAAGCGCTAATATAAATGTCCCTCAGCTCCAAACTCGACCAATTTGTAAAATATTTTCGGGTGAATCTAAACCCAATAAATAAAATCTCTAAGTCCAGAGTAAGAGATCTACTCATTGCCAAAATCGAAAGCACAATAGCACAATAGCAATCAACAAGTGACATCGCATATGTTTGTCAATAGAGAGATCAATTTATTATCTAAATTCATGTAAATTAATGTCATTCATGCGTTATTTATGAACGACCATGATCCTTTGTACAATGAAAAAATAGATGCCATGAGCTAACACTTAATTTTGCAGTCAAATGCATATGGATGCACATGCTAATCTCATGATGCACAAATATCACGTAGTTAGCTCACCGATCTACACAGGTGAGCATTTATCCCTACTCATCATTGGTTAGGACTTATCTCAACTAACAAGACATTGTTATCACCAACTCATGAGAGACGGAATAATAAAAACATTATTTACCACGCCTCGACCCATCTATCATGGGTTTGCTCTACATCAGCGATGATAAATATACGACTGTGTAACTGCATGATTATAGCTATTCTCTATTCATTCTCACAACAAAATACTCAAGCCACATCATCTCGAATATGAATCATAGGACTTTATATCCTTTTAAGACCTGTCTTGGACGGTATAATATTTGTCTTTTCCCAAAATCTTGTATACATACTCATACAAAGCAAACGTTTTACTTTTACAATAAATTGCCTAATCTAGTCAATTTTAAAAATAACTAAGAAACTACCATCATAAGCATCCTTCCCATGTAAACAGTCCCCAAAATTTTTAGTTTTTAATTATGAGACTTCTAACTTTTTGAAATAACAAAATAACCCCAATTCTACAATACTTAGATCTCTTTACCCGATTATATTTGCTTTAATTAATTTAATTTTAATCACTAACTAATAAACATTTGAATAAAATAAAATTTCAGTATTCATAAAGGAATTTATATGTTTTGAATTTACTTTTTTTGCCCTTGTATTACACAAATATACTATTTTGCCCCTTTATATGCATAGTTTCATCTCCATAACACTTTGCCCATCAAAGTCATTTAAAATTCTCTTGAAATCACTCAACCATGTTTTTGTTCACGAAATATAGCCATGATCTGTAGATAACTTATAGCATCTTCTAATTGGTATTATGAGCACAGTGGACTTTTCACGTAATAGTAGTAAATATCTTATGACGAGAGTAAAAGTAAGTATTAACAAGCATCAATCTTAAATCAACAACTTAACATCACCCATGATACAAAGTCACCTAAGATCACTCATAAATATAGTTTTGCCTCTTAGCTCATTATGTTATCATTAATACTATCCTCACTTCAAGTTAAAATTAAACAAGAATCAAGAGTAACCGTTGGATTAACCAACTTTAATCCCTAGAAATTGGGCTCTTTGGATACGTGCAATTTGATTGTGGAATTAAGTAGAATTATTGACGATGATGAATGGAGAGAGGATTTCATGGTGAAATTCAAGGCCCCAACTAGAGAAAGAGAAAGAAGTCTCACACTTTAGATTATTTTAAACATTAACTAACCAATGTTAATTTTATGTCATGCATGATGTCATTCAATAGTTAAAACATATGGTTGAAAACGAAGGAGACGTTTCTCAATGAATGAGTGATAAGTGTCTAACTTTGCTGGCAAAGCTTGTGGTAAAATAGTTCTGATGGTAGCTAGTAAATTGTGGTTATGAGAGTGGGTGAAACAAGAAGGTGGTTGAAACATGTGATGAATATCAATGACCTTGTGGATAAATATGAGTTTCATGAGTGGATTTAGTTAAAGTTTGAGTGACTCAAAGGCGTTTTGGACATTTTCAATGTATAGTAATCACGCTCCGAACAAAAAAAAGTATAATAATGATGCCACCCATGGCATTATCCTAATATTCATTAATTTATTGGCACTTTTATAATCATGACGAAACTTTCATTAAATTTAGGATTTATACCATGAAAAACCCCAAATTAGTATATTTGTGATAAATTTACCTCAAACTAATTTTTTGATCACCAAAAACCCCAAATTGGTACTCTTGTTATAATTTTACCCTCTGTTAGTTTCCGTTAGATTTTCCCGTCAAAATTCTGAGTTGAATGACACATGACAGTTGACGAGTGTACAAGTTTGGGGTTTTACTCTCCGTTTGTCACAGGTGTACTGATTTGTAATTTTTTGTGATATTAATCCAATTTAACGGAGAGTAAATTTGTCACAAATGTACCAGTTTAGGGTTTTTGGTGGTCAAAAAATTAATTTAGGGTAAATTTATCACAGGGATATCAATTTGGGGTTTTTTATGGTAAAAAAATTAATTTAGGGTAAATTTATCAGGGAAAATTCCAAATAAGGGTGTGAAGTGCCC